TCATCACCGCCCTCGCCTTGCGGCGGCTGCGGAGCCGCTGCGTCCGATATTGTACAGGGTACACTGTTGCAAGCGTCGCCGGCCGCCGCTCCATCCGCCATTATCCCCGTGCTGCTGCAGTCTTCTGCAGCCGCCTCCTGCGGCGCCGCTGCGCTGTCCGGCTGGCTGCCGCCACCGCCGGTGCTGCTGCCGCCGCCCCTGCCGCCGCCGCTGCCGCTGCTGCCGGCCTCACCGCTGCCCCCGCCGCCGCTGGCTCCGCCGCCACTTCCGCGGCTGAAAAGCTCTTGCAAGGCTGAAGGATGAAGTGAAGGGGCGCCACCACCGGGACTGCAAACTACATGCACAACCAGCTCCCGTTGCTGACAGTTCAGTAGGTGCTGCCGCTGCTGCCACCGGTGTTGCTGCTGCTGTTTCAGCCGCTGCTGATGCTCTAGCACTGCCGCCTGCAGCGCGTGGCACAAAACCCAAGGGCCCAGCCACTGGCCAGCAACAACCCTGCGTGTGGAGGGGCGCAGGGAAAGGCAGCCCAGCGAGCAGGACCCGTTGAAGGCAAGGGTGGCCAAAACAAATCAACGCGGGATACCCTCCCAGCAGCGGCCGCGGGCTTGCACGACAAAGCTGCCCCGGCCCCCGCTTGGGCTTGCGCGCGCACCCGTGCGGCGCCCCGACGCGGCAGATGCTGTGTATGGAATACGGGTGGTCGGGGCCGCAGGGGTGGTCCTGGAACAGCCGCACCACACGCACCACCTCCTCTGCATCCGCTTCGCAGGCGGGCGGGCGCACGTGGCGGCCTACCAGGTGGCGCATAAGCACCTGACGGGAGGGTTGCACACATCACACCGACATCTGCGTGATACTGCAAGTGGCAATCCTGCGGTTGCGCCGCCATCGCTTCAAAGACGCAGGGCGCTGTTGTGGCGTCCATGTCACAACAAGCAGGACAGTCAGCATTCACAATCAGCGCCGCCCTCTGCCTCACCTCTGCAAGCAGCATTTGGCCACTGCGAAGGGTGCAGCCCCACCCCACGTCCGACGTGAGACCCGAGCTGCCTGCAAACACGCTCACAAGGACACGCACAACAGGGGCAGGGAAAAAGCAGCGGTCAGCGGGAGGCGGCCACTGTGTAGTGGACGTGGCAGCCAGCTGCTTGCTGGCAAGCCTGCTGCTTGCCAGGTGCCGCAGGCAGACGGGACCACGCCGCACTCAACCCCCTGCTGCTACGATGCCGGCCATCCACCGCCTTCGCCCTGCCCACCTATGGCGGGG